TTTTTAAGAGAAGGTTCCATTTTTATTATATAAGCTGGGAAGCGGGCCCAGCATCCCTCACATATATAGCTGCAGCCACAGGGATGAGCCAGGCAATTTTTTTCTTTTGGCCTAACGACCGAACGCGTCGAGAGGGGGTGCCGAACGTTCGGGCGTTCGGCTCGTCCCGAACGCCGGCAACCCTGATTATTATTATATTATTTTGGGTATTTTAATGGGCTGGTGTTTTCTAACGGACATTGCGAAATCTCTGCGCATGCGGAGTGTGGTATCGGAGGAGGTAAAGGGACATACAAAAGGCAGCCGATGGCCCCTTGCTCCTCTTTGACAAACTAACCAACCTGCAAAAGGCTGCAATTGATTAAAAAAAACCACCAGTACCTTTGCCGCTTGGAAAATAGCGGGCCTCGGGTAGGCATCCGACCTTTGCAGCGGCCGAAACGAAACGAAGGCCGCCAATCAGATTTATCAATGGCAGTCGTCGTCGGGCCCGACCTCCGAAAATTCAGGCGCTATTTTCCCACGCAGGAAAGGTACTAGTGGAAAAAGAAAAATCAAACATGCAAGGGATCATATGGTGAGGTGCCATCTCTTTTTTTTTTTTTTTTTTTTTAAGCCAGCCAGCAATACGCATCGACCCTAGACTCAGAGCGCTGACAAGTGAAATCAACTTCTCCTGGTTCAGTCAATACCTAGGCTACCAGAGTGGCCCGGTACCACTTGCCCGGCCAGGCCAAAACAAATAAAAAATTTAAAAATTAAAAAAATATACATTTTTGAACTTTATTTCTATGTTTTATTTAGTAACGAATTTCGATGTGACCCTGAGGCAAAAGTTGTTCACTTCATTTTTTCGCATAACATACTTTTTTTTTTTTTTTTTTTTTTTTTTTTTTTTGCTGGGACCTACATTGGCCCTTGCACGGCCGGGCGGCCCGGGCAAACGAGGTCACCCAAGCGGCCCGGCTGGTAGCCTAGGTCAATATGCATCTGTATTTTTTCTTGCCAAAGAAAAAAAGCAATGTTTGAAACAAGTGCACCTCGAGCGGGATAACTCCGGGGTCGGATTGTGAGGTCCCCGGTCTTGATTTTGTTTTATTTTTTTTCGTGAAAAAATATGAAGTGTAATGGGCTTCAATCTATTCGTGAATGATTTTCGAAAAAAAAAGGAAGTCTCATACTCGGAGTGAGTATGCTGCTTGAGACCAGTGGGACCGAGTTGCGTAGAGTTTGGTGCTTGAAATCACAGGGAGCAGCAGACTCAGTCTGAGTGCGGATTCAAACGTAAATTTCAGACTTAAGTTTTAGACTAGCAGTCTGAGTGTGGACTCAACTTAAGTTTTGGACAAAGTTTCAGACGAAATTTTGCTACCGTACTGACAATGGCACGCAGCAAACGCAGTCCGAAACAAGACTGAGTCTGAGGAGGAGTGATGATTTGAAGCAGGAATGCGAGCAAACTGACCGGGGGCATGTTCAGACCCAGCGGTCGGGTTCCGGCTGAGGACTTTCGGGATTTTTTCCCGAAAAAATAAATCAGTAAAACAGAAAAGTAGTTGTAGGGTTTTTTAAACCCCACAACACTATATCTATGGACATTGACTCATTGCCTCCGTCGACATAACGAAGAAGAAGAAGAAGAAGAAGAAGAAGAAGAAGAAGAAGAAGAAGAAGAGGAGGAGGAGGAGAAGAAGAACATCACGAAGAAGAAGAAGAAGAAGAAGAAGAAGAAGAAGAAGAAGAAGAAGAAGAAGAAGAAGAATCTGAGCCAGCCTTACCGGATCTTCTTTTCGGGATATTGACCGGCCAGTCTGCTTATCACAGTCTGTACATGAACCCCTTCCTCACTGCCCCTGCATTCCCCAAGAATCACGACAATAGACGAGAGCCAGACCAAGCAAAAGAATCTTTGAATATTGTACACAAGAAGACAACAGACAAGAATCAAGACAGTAAAGCATAGTGATAATAGCACTCCATTGCACATAGTTGCAGCCCTTTGCCAATCCACAGGCATTCCGTGAGATTCTGATGGGCTACTGGGCTACTCTGACAGATACAGGAGCATGAGACACAAGCAAGGACCTCAAGTGGCGGTCCCCACCGCACAGCACTCCAACATTCACAAGCACGCCAGCAGCAGCAAGTTGGGTTCCCGTTCAGGTTCGGGTTCACGTTCGGGTTCGGGTCCGCGTTCGGGTTCCAGGTTGGGTTCAGGTTGGCTGCACATCTCCACCTATATATTGAGCTAAATGGTAGTAAAATGATACTGAAATCTTAAGTTAAATGTTTCTTTTTAACTTTTTATTTCATTTTTCTGGGCAAACAATGTGACCCAGAGATAAGACCACAGCAGAAACCAAGTTCCCCTCCCTTAAACACACACTAGTACCTTTTGCCGTCCTGTTTCGACAAGTTTTACCCTAGTCCCAAACTTTTAGGAGGCCAGGCCCGACAACGGCTGCCGTTGATAAGTCTGACTGATCGGCGGCCGCCGCCTCCTCCTGAAAGGTCGAAGGCCCACTCACTATTTTCCGAACCGAAAAAGGTACTGGTGCTTAAAAAAAAAAAAAAAAAAAAAAAAAAAAAAGAGAGTTTCCCTCCCTTGTCTGCTATTTACCTCACCACCAGTACCAGAGAAGTCGCAGCACTCAGTTTTCGACCATATGATCATTTTCAGCAAAATAAATTTAAATAATAATATTCTGAAACTGTGTTACTGACTTTCGAGTGTCAACGATGTGATTTTTTTTTTTCTTCACTCACTCTCGCAACAACTCGACTTCCAGCTGACCCCCCCACCCATCCACCCACCCCCCCAAAAAAAAAAAAAAAAAAAAAAGAAAGGAAAAAGGAAAAACTAAGATCCCGGTTTCTTGCTCATCACCTGTCTAACATGGGTTCTCGCAGTTCACGTCAGTCACCTTTGCAATCTTCACCCCACATTTTTACGACTTTTCATTCCGAACCGACCGTCTCCATTTTTCTCTTCAAAAGTCCCCTCCCAAGCAACAGAGATATTTTACGGCAAACAGTTTTATAAATGAGAATGAAACTTCCGTTAGAACATGGAAAGATACACCGCCATGTTTAGTTTTATTTTTTGTCTTTTGTGGATTACCGCAAACCTTTGCCTTTGCCTTTGTTGCAATTGCTGCCATCAACACTTCCCAAGTACTACATTGCGTCTTTTTTTAAGGGTTTTTTTTTTTTTTTTTTTTTTCCGTTGTGTATCTTAAGAGTCTGGTAGACCCAATCCTTTTCCCGGATGACCATGGAAACTCGTTTGAGTGCACCTGGTCCAGAAACCGTCCAAATGCATGTAGAGTGTCGTGTAGCGGAGCGAGGCTCAACTACCAGTGTGCTGCCATCAATACTTCCGAAGTACTACATTGTGTGTGTCATTTCCCCTCCTTTTTTTTTGTTTCTTTTTTTTTTCTTTTTTTTTTTAACTTCAGTGTGCGTGCGTGAAAATGAGGGATTGGGTTATAAGTTATAACACAACACTCTACAGGTCCGAGGCAGCTCCGTAAAATGACCATGGACGTGGTGGGCTCATAACCCACAGGTCCAACTGTTATGATCCAACCGTTATGATTCTGGTTGTTCATAACAGTTGTGTAGTGGAGCGAGGCCAAACTGCCAGAGTCTGTGTTCGAAAGAGTGTCAACGTCCAACGCTCTTCTATCTCCCAACTACCTCCCTCCGTTTCAACCCCTTCATCCATTTCCCCAAACCGACTGTTAGCAGTTGGCGGCCAGAGGAGAGAAAATGTGTGGCAGATGGTTTAAGCAGACGGCAGGGATCATTCCTGTTGAAAACACCACCTTTTCTTTTTTTTTCACTGGCCATTTCTCGATTTACGCGTGTCATCATTGTGCAGGGGCCATGCTAATCTTCTTTCTCTGTCTCGTTCCTTTTTTTTTTCTTTTTTTTTTTAATTTGGACCATTTCTCGATTTATGTGTGTCATCCTTGCGCAGGGGCCATGCTAATCTGCTTTCTCTGTATCATTCCATTTTAAACGGATGGTGAGCACTTCATTTTCACAAAGTCTAACGCATCTCCAGCATCACCCAATTGCACAGGGAAGTGATGACCCCACAACAAGGCAACAGACCTACGAGCACCTAACACGCTACATGCATTTGGACGCTTTCTGGACCCGATACACTCAGAATTTTGGGGGTTGTAGATGAATTCAAGCATGATCTACAACCCCTAACAGACCCTGCTTGGATAAAAAAGGAAGAACATACACTCATGGCCAGCATCGCTAAAATGTACGTCCGATCGCTTTGCTACACTGATTAGAGAGCAAGTCACGGAAACCATTTTAAGGGTGCTCGTGGGACCAGGAGGGACACATCAGGATAGAGAGGGAATAACCTCCTCCAAGGGCAAAAAAAAGTGAGGACGCCGCTAAGAGCACTCACACAGAAGACGCATCTTCGTAAATGCTCAGCACGATTCTTTGCAAGTCAGGCACACCACCGCCATTGTCACCGGGTGTTTGTGCAGAAGGGAGATACTGCAGCCACCATAAGCACCAAACCACAGCAAACACAAGAGAGGGCGGGGGGGAAGAGAGGGGAGGGGAGGGGAGGAGAAAAGAAAGTCATTATCACTAGTCCAACACTTGCAAGGATTCCTTAAACAGATAGATTACATACCAGGACGAGATACTGTGATGGAGCAGATGCCAACCAGCAAGAGAGAGAGAGAGAGAGAGAGAGAGAGAGAGAGAGAGAGAGAGAGAGAGAGAGAGAGAGAGAGAGAGAGAGAGAGAGAGAGNAGAGAGAGAGAGAGAGAGAGAGAGAGAGAGAGAGAGAGAGAGAGAGAGAGAGTGCAGACAGGGTGAGAGAGAGCTGAGGGGGCAGACACAGAAGGAAGATACCTGGCACAACCAGGGAAAGACAAGTCTTGTTATTACAGACAAGCAGGCCTATATCTGGAGTCACCCCCCCCAAGGCTTTGCCAAAATCAATCAAATGAGTAAGTAATAATACCTAGCTACCGTATGCACTCCACTTTCCTTGATCAGAGCCTACCTACTAAAGTCGCCCGTAGACTGGAGTGCCCACCTGGCCCCCCCAGGCATCTGCCTGAAGTCTAGAGTAAGCCTCCTGGAACTCTTGCCAGGCTACCGTCTTCACCCGAATAGAACACCCGGTCATTATAGCTGTATTTGGTGGAACTTTAAGTCTAGATGCAGTGATAATGACCGGGCATTCTATTCGGGTGAAGACGGTAGCAATGGGACGCAAACAAACTGCACAGTTTTCTTTCATCTTTACCTGAATCATTTTTGTCCTCGATTTCCTCCAACCACTTCTAAAAGCATACTGACACTAGGACTTTTATTTATACTTATTTTGGATGTAACTGAGGTCAGATACATCCAGTCTCTGCTGTAAATGCCGTCAGATACATTTACGATAGAACTAGTGTGAGTACGCCCCGACTTGTGCGTTGCACACAACTGATTCACAGACCTTCACAAACATCCTCTCAAACCTCAGTCCTGAATGTTCTACTGAATGTTCCGATTCTTTCAAACAAGGGTTTAATGGCCTCTTATCATCCGACTGGACTCTTGCGAAAGGGAATGACGTCAGTCCGGAAAACAAGGGTGTTATGAGCTTCTATCAATGCCTGATATGCAGAAGAATGGCACCTGCTAGGCTGCTACACTTTTCCGTGACTCTCCCCCTCCCCTTCCCCCTCCCCCTCCCCTTCTTCCCCTGGAACCAAAACAGGACGCTTGACCCGGTTTCCAGCAGGTTTGGCTCCCCAGCTCCCCACCAATCCAATGGAGCAACCAGGACCAAAAAAAAAAAAAAAAAAAAAAAGAAGGCCAAAGCCCCACCCAAAAATGGCATAGCCAGAGGGGAAAAAAAAGCAGAAGACACCTGCATAGCAAACGTTCATATGATGTGCACCCTTGCATAGCACAGATGCCTGCAACTCGATTAGTACACACCCTATCAAGTCCAATTATTGAATAGCCCCAGAACCCAGGTAGAACGCACTCCGTCCCTAGCCCAAGGAATACACATACCTGCCTCTGTGAGTTCCAGTTGTACCTGGTGACCCACTTAGTCCTCCCCCCTTTCACCCCTCCCCCCCAATTTGGGATAGTCATAAATCTTGACCAACCCAACGTGACCCCGCTTGGGTCCGGTGGCTCGCGCCTTCCCGTGGCCTCCGCGCTGGCGGCCAAAGGGCTCCTGAGGGCCTTGGACAGACTTGTGGTTTAATAAAGAGAACAAAAGGTCNNNGGGGGGGGGGGGGGGGACACATTTATGATTGGCTGAAAAACAAGAAGAAGACGACAAAGCTCACTTGATTTCCAACATTGGCTCTAGTTGGAGTTTGCTGGGCTGACCCGGGACCGCCACCATAGCCACCTCCTGCTTCCTGTGTCATAGCTGACATCGGAGTGCCACCAACTCCACCCTGCCCAAAAAAAAGGGAACAGAAGCAAGACCAAACACAAGCCCAAAAAGGAAACAGCTTCCAAGAAATGAACACTTTATTTTTTTCCCCAAAAAATGAACACGAAAGGCTGACGATGAAAAAGTGATAGGGATCACACAGCGTACACGCTGGGAGGTAAGAGAGATGAACATCCAATCCAATTCAATCAAACGCAATCAAATGCAATCAAATGCAATCAAATGCAATCAAACGCAATTGAATTCAATCAAATGCAATCAAATCCAAGCAGCTATGGTGCATGTACAGAAGTCCTTTGGTGCCAACAAGCTCAAATAATAATAATGGGCTTGCTCCCCCTCGTCGGTATGAGCAGGGTCTTTACTCTTTAGTCAACAAGCTCATACCGACCAGGGGGAGTGCTCCTCCTGGTCCGTGTGTGAGTGTGTGTGCAAGGGGGTCGTGTGTGGTGCGTGGAAGAGTGTTGGCCTTAGACACGGTAGTTACTCGATGTGGGTGAGGGAAGACGGAAAGGGCTGTGCAGCTATTGGCCAAATGCTTGGTCTTTGGCCCCCACCGGCGGCGCCAACCCTGCACCCCAAACCTCTTTAGGGCAAGGGGCAACATGCAATCCCTTTCGTTGTAGGAGGTAAAAAGCTATATGCTTGCAAGAGTCCGCTGTATAGCCTTAGGTGCAGTGATAGACAGGTAGTGAAAGGCGAATTAAGAGAAAAATATGGCTAGATTAAAAAACAAACAAACAAAAAAAAAAGCCCCCTACAGTAGTCGCGATCCACCGGGAGCAGGTTCAATTCCTGCAGCCGGTCCCCTCTGTGAAGCTATACCCTCTGGAATTTCACCGAGTAGCCCCACGGACTGGCACTCCTGATAATGATGATGAATAAGCGAGTGCAATGTCCGATGGGTATGGTGGTCCCTACCAGTTTCGACTGCCGCCACACCGTCTCTTCATGGGATTGTTTTTTTTTTTTTTAATCCAGCCTATGCCGAATCCCACTGTTCCGTTCACCCAAACCCCCTCCTCTTCCATTCGCTGCACTCCCTACAGCACCACATGCCTTCACTGCCTGCTGCTATTGTGAGAATTTTTTACTGACTCCAGCCTCAATGACGAATTGCCGCTTCAAAATCAAATCGGGTCCCCTTGCTCCCGTGCAACAAGGTTCAATATATCAATGCTGGTAAATGTGTCCCTATGCATTTAGAATGTGTTGAAATCCAGTCCGAATGTAACCGGTCCAAATTACAGTGCGTGATGCAGATAGATGTAGAATGTCGAGTAGTGGAGCTAGGCCCAAAGGGGCCCAAATGTTTGAGACCGGTTTTTCGTTCCTACTTCATTTCCCCGTCCTTTTGCACTAAACAGCTCCATAGCCGCAAAGAGCAGGGAATAAAATACATAAAATACATAAAAATTGATAAAATAAATAAAATAATTACAAAAATGGAAAACCACAGTGGCCCGGGACCACTTGCCCAGCCAGGCCCAAAAACATATATACATATATTGACGATATATAGTATATACTCTGTTTGACTATATATGTTTGACTATATATATAGTCAAACAGAGCTGCCCTGTAAACCGTAGGCAGAGAGGGGGGAGAGGACAACAAACGAGGGGCTTAAAAATTAAAATGTTGAATTCTAGGCTACCAGAGTGGCCCGAGTCCACTTGCCCGGCCGGGCCAAAAAGAAATAAAAAAATAAAAATTATTTTTTAAAATTTTAATTAATTTTTTATTTTAAATCCGGTAAAGAATTTCGATGTGACCCTGAGGCAAAAGTTGTTCAGTTTATTTTTCTGCATAACATAGTTTTTTTTTCGGATTTTTTGGATGTTTTTTTTTTTTTTTTTTTGGCTGGGACCTTCCCTAGTCCTTGCACGGCCAGGCCGCCCGGGAAAATAAGGTGACCCAGGCGGCCCGGCTGGTAGCCTAGGTTGAATTTTATTTTCAATGTATTTTGATGTGACCCTGAGGCAAAAGTTGTTCAGTTTACTTTTCTGCATAGCATAGTTTTTTTTTTGTATTTCTGAATTTTTATTATTTTATTTTGCAGGGACCTGACCTCTCCCCGGGCCGGGCCACCCGGGCAACCAAGGTGATCCGGGCGGCCTGGTTGGTAGCCCGGTATCCTGCATAACTTTTCTTTTTCTTTTTCCTTGCGGGGAGTCGGGGACCTTCGCCCCAATGGGCCAGCCACCCTGGCAGCCCAAGGTGACCCTGCTGGTAGCCTAGTTACAAAATTAGTAATTATTAAATTATTGTTAATTATTGTTAATTATTGTTAATTATTGTAATTATTGTAATTATTGTTAATTATTGTAAATTATTGTAAATTACTGTAAATGATATTCTTAATGATATAGTAAAATTGTTGATTCTGCTGACACTCCTTTTTCCCAAGAGATAACAAGTAAAAAATTTGAACATTGCACAGGGGCCATACTAACACGCACAAATTGAGAAATGGTCCCATTATGATAATAATAATAATAATAATAATAATAGAAAATATATTAAAAAAAAAAAAAAAAAAAAAAAAAAAAAAAAAAAAAAAAATAAAAAAAAAAAAAAAAAAAAAAAAAACACTGACAAAATAGGCTTTGTAAGCAAATGACATCTCAGAAAGGCTGTGACAGGAGCGTGAAGAAAAAAACTGCACACCTGCGCTGCTCTCTTGTTGTATAAATGGACAAATATGCACTCCGTGAAGTGCGCTGTGACCTCGTTGTAATCCTCAATTTGCCTGCAAAAGAGGAAGAAGCATCATGTTTCTTAAAATACAGCACAAGCAGGAACATCACCTCCATTCTACTCACAAAAAAAGATAGGTAAGTAGCACAGTGAATGATGTATCCATACACACACACAGACACGCAGAGAGAGAGAGAGACAGAGAGAAAGAGGGAGGGAGGAAAATCAAATTACTGATCCAAAGGCAGACACTTAAAAAGGGCAATTCGTTTCAATCAAACTCTAAAAGTAAGCAAGGCAAAAATGGCTATGCATCGTACATGCAGCGCATCACATGCACGAAAGTTGCGCACGTGCGCCGCATAGCGCACGTGATGCGGCGCAAGTACGGAAATAGGGTCGGTTAAAATTTTCAAAAAGTGCAGGCTGTGGTAGCCAAATGTGCCCCTCCCTTCTGAAAATTGCAAGTGCAAAAAAAAAAAAAAATTGAGGCGACATCGTACTCCTCATCGGATCTCGTCTCGTTTCCAAAGGGTCCCCAGCAGAGAATTAGAATCAGCAGGGGTCCCATGTCTTTGGAAAGGCGTTCATCCAAATGATGGAGGGACACAAGCAGGCCAGCAATATATTCTGGATTCAGATTCAGGTCTGTGTTCCCGCAGTTATGGGTTACAAACTACTACTAACACTACAGTAGCTCTCTCGTTTTTCTGTTTTTCCTTTTCTTATGTGCAGTGGCCATAAGGGCCTCCCTCGCTCCACTCATCACCACTTGCACAAAAGACGAAACATATGGCGCCGTATGGTTCCAGTTTCTAGGAGAATATTCATTCTGGTTTTCCGCATTTGGTGAGTAGTGGAGTGAAGCCATGAAAATCACATGCCGAGTTAGTAAGTCAGTAACCCATAACTGAATTTGAAACACGGACCTGAATTTGAAGCTACACCATATATAGCTGGCCCCTACTATGGTGTAGCTTCAAAATATTAGCGGAAAACCCCTGCCGGTACTTCAGAAGGCCCCTGTCCAAAATTAGCAAGGGTCTCCTCGGCAAGAAAAAGGGTAGTCGCTGGCCTGCTACTGCCTTCCTACAAGCCCAGCGACTACCCTTTTTCTTGCCAAGGAGACCCTTGCTAATTTTTGACAGTGGCCTTTTGAAGTACCGGCAGGGGTTTTCTGAATAATGTGGAAGGCCTCTTTGCTCTTTGCTCTCTCTCTCTCTCTCTCTCTCTCTCTCTCTCTCTCTCTC